AGATAATATGCACTTAAAATAAGGCAATGCAAAGGTTTTTCTTATTTTAAATGTAGATTGTCTTGTTCTATTAGCAATGTGTCTCACTTGCCTCCTCAATGAAGAAAAAATGCACTTCTTTTAAGCAAAATTGACTTATTTAGACTTCTATTTTTTTGTGATGTGGATTTCTGTTTGCCTACTACATGTGTATTCTGAGCCTGTTGTCACAACAAAAATGCCATTATGGTTTCATAATGACAATAAAGATTCATGGGACTACTCACAACCAACCACTTCTTATTTGATTTCTGTTTTCATAACTTGATATAATTTTATAAAAGGTTAGCTCATCTAAGGTAATACAATGGTGACCTATTGGTTAATTAAATGTTAGATGTCACGTATGACCGGTTTGGGCTGGTCAGTTCATCTTTGTGATACAATCCCTCAGGCTTATCTCTTTATGTGCTCAAAGTCTGCATTGTCCTTGTGTTTCCCGTAAATTTTAAATTCTTCACCATTTAGTTACGTCTTCTATTCGCCAACAGGTCCTGAAATACTGGAATTTCTAATCCTGCAGGAAGGGCCTGATCGGTTCCATTAATCATGTTTGCTTTGCTCTGTTTATCAATGCTGTCTTGTCACCGTCCCACCACCAGAAAAAAAGATTTTATACTGCTGAAAATCACTGGAAAATAAACATATGCAAGCTCTAAGCCCTGAATGAACAGAACCTATTTGAAAGGGGCTGACTAAAAATCTGTAAACTAGGACACTAGAAGGATTTTTAATATTTCAGTATAAAATTAGCAAAATTTCAGGTTTGGCACTTTGTAATTTCAAAGTGCTGCAAAGATATTTTTACACTATAGCTATGGAACTATAGCATTTCTCAGACACATGTTTTGCATGCTGTTTTTTGCATATATTATTCTTTCTTTTTGTTTTTGGATTTTTCAGTAGCACTAAACAATTGTGGTGTTGTAAAAAGTGACAAGGGAATCAGCTGATAGGTATTAGACACTTTTCTTTTAGGTTAACATACACTCGTGTTATGACCATGTGTTGCAGCAACTTCAGGTAACCAAAGAGGCTCCTGAGAGGCTGTTGTCGGGCCGTTCCTTGTCTGATGCGCTCATTGAAAAGAGGATCCAGTGAGATCAAAATAGTGTTGATGTAAAATTTATTAAGAAAAAGGTCTAAACAATGTAGAAGCGTATCCAAAATCTAACTTTTCAAATGTAGATCACAGCGATTTGTATTGCAGTCAACAAAAAATACAACAGCTCACTCATCCACTCTCTAACCGAGACACTCCACAGGTGAGTAATATGCCCAAATACAAAACTCTGCCCATATCGAGTTGATCCATTTCTCCACAAACAACCAACCAAACAAACAAATAATAACAAAACCATAACAGCTATAAACCCAGACGAATGAACATCAAAGTATCTTTTCATTTATGGCTTCTACACCACATGTTGCCTTTAAAATGAATAAAAGAAGCTGAAAGGACCACAAAACAGACAAGATAGAAAATGATACTAAAACCTATTTTAAAAATCATTTGGAAACCTAAGTTAGACCCAAGGTCTATTTTATTCAGGTTTGCGCAGCAGCAATTTGATGGGAATGTCATAAGTGAGACACAATAGCAAAGTGAATTACATTGCTTAGGGGAAAATACAACTTAAAGGAATAGTACACCCAAAACATGATTAGCCTTCATTTTCTACTCACCCCCATGCTGAACAACACTCTGGAGTACTTTTTTGATATCTCAAATGCATCTGGAGATCTGGGAGGCTTCTTGCTGTCTGCTGACATTCAAATAATGGAGGTCTATGGTGACCGAGACAGAAAGGTCCATAAAAGTCCACAAAAAACGTGTCAATATTCCTCCATACTGCTCGTCCAATGTATTCCAAGTGTCCTGAGTGGGTAGCATCCAGAATTTACTCGAAACGAAGTCATTTAGAATGTTTTTAGAGCATAAACAGTAGTGTATAGGATTTCCTGAAAGCGCGCACATGCGCGCTCACGACGCTACGGAAGCCAGCAGACCAAACCAGATGAAAGTGCGCATTCAGCGTCTGCTCTGCCAATAATGCAAGCGTAGAAGAAGAAATGTGCTGTTTACCTGTGCAAAGAAAGAAACAACGAAAGAAAAATGTCTGAGGACTTCAGTGTTGAGGAAGAGCATGAGTTCTTTGCCGAGCTGAATGCGTTGGTTTGGTCTGCCGGCTTCCGTAGCGTCGTGAGCGCGCATCTGCGCGCTTTCAGGAAATCCTATACACTACTGTTTATGCTCTAAAAACATTCTAAATGACTTCGTTTCGAGTAAATTATGGACGCTACCCACTCAGGACACTTGGAATACATTGGACGAGCAGTATGGAGGAATATTGACAGGTTTTTTGTGGACTTTTATGGACCTTTCTGTCTCGGTCACCATAGACCTCCATTATTTGAATGTCAGCAGACAGCAAGAAGCCTCCCAGATCTCCAGATGCATTTGAGATATCAAAAAAGTACTCCAGAGTGTTGTTCAGCATGGGAGTGAGTAGAAAATGAAGGCTAATCATGTTTTGGGTGTACTATTCCTTTAAACTGGTCACAATATAAACATTAGAGCATTTCCAATCATGATGCCCAGTACTGTATTTTGTATGAAAGGGTTCCTCGTGAATTCTGAATTTGTTTATTTGTTTGTTTTTTAGGAATTTTAATACTTAACTGTGACGCTTTCTTGTAAAAAGCCTTGAGTGTTGAATCGAGGCTTGTTGTTGTTGACTTTTTTATTTTTGAACTTGTCTTTAAAAATAGTTTAGTAGTTTATTTCACTTTTCTGATATCTTTTACTCATGTGTCCGCATATGTCAGTGGATTCACAATATCTATACAATAAAGTCAGCAGTGCACTGATCCAGGTTTGAGCCCAGTGCATGCAGTCTCAGCTATTATCTCTTACAATGTTTCTTTTTGAGTTTAGGCTGAACCTTCTTCCAGTAGAAACAGCTGGATGAAGAGATTTAAGTGACCCCAGGAACCACATGTTTTCATTGACAAAGTGTGCTAATAAAGCTTTGTGCAAACAGATCAAGTGCAGTAAATACACCAAGACACAATACTTGACCTCTCTTTGTGAATTAACTTCTTAGATTCCTATACAGTATAACCCTAAGTTATGTCTCCAATAATCATACATAATACTGTCAAAGTTTCATTCATCTATTGTAAACAAGCACATCTAAGTCGTAGTAGCTCAATAATATAATAGCATATACTGTGCTTTAAAATTTCCTTTGCAAACATTTTCCTCTTCAGTTTGAACTTCTGATGTACAGAGGGCGATATTACTGTTTTATTGATAGTGGTTGGTACAACTTGCTTTCTACTTGCAGACAGAAAACTCTCAACAAGGCTGAGCAGTAAATGAAAGCTCCTTTCTTCTAATATAATGTCAGTGCTGCGCAAAGAAATGTTTCACAATAAAACTTACAAATAAAAAGAGAAAGCAGTTTAAACATTGAACACCCTGTATTTAACTTTAGATAAGGAATAGATCAAACCTGTTTTTCTTAGCTTTGACAAAAGTGCTGTGCAGCATTGCCATTCTTTTTTAGAAAGCAGTACAAATGTTGATTAGAAATTACATACCAGTGTGAACAATTGATAATTAAAGCATAAAGTAATTATTTTCCAAACTGATAGTCAAACAACTTTAGCTTTTAAAGAATGCATATCTCTGTGAAGGGAAAATTGTTTTTCACATCTCAGAGCCTGCAACACATAACTAAGCATGCAAAAACAAAACCCTAACCTTTGTTCTCCTCTCAGTCTCTGACACATTGTTTAACTACCACACGCCTTTAGAAACATTTATTACCTTCCAAAGCTCCACACTTCTAATGAAACTGGTCGTTAGGGGAGACATAAACATTAAGCAAAATACTCATGCAATTGGCAGACACTAATGCAGCTCCCAGTCCCTTTCTACAATGGTATATTAGAGAAAGGCGCATAAATGGCCACTGATTTAGACTATTTTCTTAAGCAATTAGAGTTTGCTTATTTTTCCCAGAAACACTGTTACCAGATGCAGTAATAATACTTTGTCAGCTAAAATCCAGATTTATATTTTCTATGTAATTTATCACTTTTAATATATATAAAAACTGACTAATTTCAAACTTAAATTTTACTGCTTTCTCAATGCAATCATCTAATTACATTTTTTACAGCATATTAAATGTGCATGAAGCCCTGTCTAGTCTGATGTTTGTGATTATAAGCAAAATGTTGATAATTCAAAATAATTCTACATTAAGAATCCTTTTTGTCTAGTTTTTTTTTTTTTTTTTTTATTGAGTAGCATTTACCTCCAAGAAAGAGTAGCCTCAGGATGAATATGCAAATTAAAGGTGTAAGATGAGCTAGAACTAGATGTGCTACATTAACTATAGAGAGGAAAGGAAAGCATAAAAGTCAATGCTGGAAACATTTCGGCAGTGCAAATGCTAATAAAACTGCCTTGCATACATTTCCAGGTCACACGCAACACACCTTATTTGTTTTTGGTTGATTTGTTGGGATTACTGTTAAGCCTTCTCACCAAATAGGTCACCAGAGGCTACAAGATGTTTTAGTAGAGCTACAAATCAGAGATATAGTCAAGCTTTTAAAACTGTGACTTTTGATTTTACTCCATATAAATCCTAAAACAAAAGTATTTTAAATATTGTTTATGCCCACTGATCTTTAAGTGAATCTTTAAGACATATCACTTTACTGGGCATCATCTTAAGAGAAATAATGCAAATGGTGAAAGGAGGATTATAAGGGCTATTTAATATTTCTCTCAAGCCATAAAAAAAATGTTTCAGTACCCTCAGTAACCCCCTTTTAGACAACTCTACAAGGCTGAATTAGTTCCTACACAGTTATTAACTCAAACCTTTTATTGCTTTCAACTATGTCTCTGTGTGAAGTCCAACAGCAGCAGGTCTCTTATACGTCATCCTACAACTTAAACCATGACAACTATTCAATCAAACTGGCCACCAGGATGGAGCTGGAACCCCTCTCCAGGGATATGGCTGTTCCTATGGTAACTGTGTAGGTGTAAGGCCTGACAGCGAGCAGGAGAATGTAAGTTTTTTGTTTTTTTTCTATTTATTTAATGTGTACAGGTGTCATTGCAAGAAAGAACCAAACTTTCTAGCAGATATTTCTGTTAACATCAGTTTTTAGAGTGGAAAAAAAAAAAAACCTTTTACAACCACAGTTAACTTATATATATTTTTTTCCTCTGGGTTTATTCAAAGGTGCTAGAAGTATAAGAGAAAACATCTTCTCTCTCACCTCTTTGAGGTATGAACCTTAAGAATTGCAGACCAGCATGTGATGTTGTCCATCAAATGAATTTGTTTTTTCACAACTCGAAACAATACTTTAGTCAATATGCTCTTTAAAACATGTTAAGACGATAGATAAAAGCTATGTTTATTAAAGTAATCAAAGTGCTTCAACTACAAAATTAGCATTTGCATAACTTTTCTCTTTCTTTTTATTTCTATCATCCGTCTTTGGTGTGTCAATTGATTTGTTAATATGTGTTTTTCAAATGCTTAAACTGTAAAAAATGATCGGATAGAAGATGAGGTTGGAATAAATCATACCATTAGACTTCTCCATCACTTTTTACTTATTCAGTTTACTTTGATATCCAATTAAAATGATGGAAAACAGTTTTGAGTGTTTATACAAAGAAATACAACACTTCACAAAAGGTAACATGCAGATCAACCTATCTTGATTTAGTTGTCTTATATAAAATTAAAAAAATATATACAGAATAAAATCTAATGCTTTTCTGTGTAAAAAAAATGTAGTTATGCTATCAGGTGAACTGTATACAGTAGCTTCAGTATTCTTTATCATTGTTAAAAAAAAAAAAAAAAAGAAATTTGCTAAGGTGTGGACTTCCTACAACATTTTTAAAACAACAAAAACAACAGCAGAGTAGGGTAAAAACAATGAATGTAGAGTTGCACAAAGTTTTTCAGATTCATTTGAAGAGTTGGAACATTGCAACCTAAAATAAACTACACTAAGACTTAGGATCAATGAACAGTCCAGAGCTACAGGCTAAAGAACCACATATGGTGCATTGTATGTTGTAGAGTATTAGATTATACCATCAGCTTTAATTCTCCCAGATTGGCGAACCAATCTATGTTTATATAAACTGGATTTTAATAAAGTATTTACACATTACACTCCCAAGGAGGTACTGCATAGTCTGGTAACCGGAACAAATATACTTTAATTCTGAGAAACAAACAGTCTTCACTGATTATCTTCCTATGTTTGTTTCTTTGCACACTTTTTTGAATGTCTAAATAATGTTTCTTACTGCTGCAGTCTAAATATCAGTTGCCCTAACAGCTGAAATCCTCCAGCATGTCTCACACAGAGCCTACTTACTATTTTCATCTGACATCCTCTTTTCTTGGTGAGTAATTAAAAAGAGGTTCTGAGCACAAGCAGTGACAGGAGGTCCACTGAGATAACCAGTGGTCTAATTAGAACCACATATCTCCAGACCTATCTATAAAAACACCAGCCACCTATACTGGTTTTTAGTGTTATGTCTGCACAATTTTACATGCGGCTAAATAGTGAAACAATACAATACCCAGAGGTATTCAGGTATTTTTCAGGTAAGTGTCAGAAAAACTGATTAATGACCTGGTAAAAAGCTAATGTAGAACAAAAACTATGACTTACACTCATCCCACTAACAGTGAAAGGCACTGTTCAAAGACATGCTAATTAATCACATTGTTGTGAATCACATCAATAAAAAACTGATAGATTATTAAAAGTAAATAACACAGTACTTACACGTTTTTTTTTTTTTTTTCCACATATACCCCACAGACTCATACCTATCAAAGAGCTGCAGTGAGCTAATTCGCTGCATTGAAGGATATTGTTTACTCAGTTTATCTTTGTTATTTCTTATTGACAGGCCCTACAATGTCTGTCCTTGTTCATGTTGATTGTTATTTCGGCCAACTGCAAATGTTATATTCTGCTGTACAGAGCCTGCCTGCTAAAAATAGTCTGTAGAGGTCCAAGGACAGTCTTTTCAGAGTCAGTAACTGTTGCCCCTTCTCTTTAGTCTAATAAAGAACTGGCAAAGCACTAGATGGCAGTAAAAAACATATAACAATATGCTATGATACAGATATGGGATTATATGATGCAAGTTTCATTAGACTAGTGATCTGAGTTCTATTAACAATGTGGGAATGCTGTCAGCACTGAAGCTGGCAGTTGGTGGCTCACCTGAAACTGATCAGATCGTTAGTGGTTGGATTTTTTTTTTTTTTGTGTGGGGGGGGGTATACTACTTGTCACTACGTGATGGTCATCCAACAAGAAAATGCAAGTGGAAATTATCACTATAAACTCATTCAGGAGACAATGACTTGATGCAATCCACTGGTTTGGTCTGACTGTATTGACTCTGTAATGTGCCTTGAGAAGACGTGTTGTCAAGTGGCACTGTATACATAAACTGATTTGAACATACTAAGTTGAACCCATTCTGGTTAATACATTTGTCTTACCCTCCGAAAGTCCCTATTGAAAATGATTAAACCACATTCTTATTTTCTCGAGACAACTTGATTGTTTCTCTTTCTGCATCCCAGGTTGAAGAAACCCTGCCAGACCACTTCTGCCTGCTACCTCCATTAAAAAAAAAACGCTTTCCCTCCAACAACTAAAGAGCTGATCTTTGACTGTGTTTGGGTTCTCCAGCTCCAGCATTCTACCTGCCGGGCAGCTGTCAGCCATCTGCTCCTACAACTCACCACCTACCTCCCTAAAACATACTTTACTCCATTTAGACAAACATGGATCCCTACTTCCACAATCCCCAGGAATCCTTCCCTTCCCAACCTTGTTTCCATCTGCTCAGTCTAAGAGTTTCATCCTGCCCGAAGTCCTGCCTCATATCCTCATCCAAGACTCAGCTAATTCATCTCTTTCTTCTCCAGATACTGCCAATTTCAAACACCTCCCATCAGATGGCTGGGTTTTTTTTTTCCTGAGTATCTTTAAAATAAAATCCTCCCTCTTGTGTTGCTTCCACATGTGGACCAAATCTATTCCAGTAACTCAGACAATAATAATATGATATGATATCACAATATTGTTATAATGTGTGTATACACTGATTTTAGCAGGTTATGTCTTTCCTGTGTTTATACAGAAAAGAAGTGACCTTTTCTTTGGCTCCTTCACTTCTAAAGTTTTTGAATTCCAGGCTTGTAAAGGGGATTAGGACACCTTTACAAATGCTAAAGGTATTTTCTATTTGTGCAGAAGTTATTTAGGAAAAACAGGTTTAATAATGGTTCAGGTATGTCATTATGGATTTAAAAACAAACCACAATTATTGATGGAGCCATAAGCAAACACTGCATTTGTGTGGTATTCATGACCACATTAATTTAGTTTTTATACTCAGCCCAAGATCACTGAAAGGTAAAATAGATATTGCTTGTTCCCCAGCATGCCACTGACATTCCATGCACTTGATTTATTCTATTAATGGAAGATTATTCAGGTCAGGACTGCTGAGCTCAGTTATGATCCACCAGGAGAGAGGAACAGAGGAAAGGCTGAAATGGAGACTTGATGTTTAACACAAGTCATCAGAAGTCTATAATAGTCCTGTAACATTAGCTGAATTATTCATTAGGTGATTTTAGTCTGGGGAGTATTACATTATATGAGTATGTGTTCAGACACTAAGTGCATACATTTTACAACCTCTATTGAAAAACAAAGTGTCAAAAATAAAAACAGTAAAATGTGTTGTTTTAATTAAAACTTGTACAGAGCTACAGTCAACATTAGTGTTTAGGATCTGAATAAATGAAAATGACCTATGATTCTGTGCCAAAAGCTATTTTGTTGGGGGTTGCAATAGGGCTGGCATTGTCGTTTTAACTCAAGGCAAGAACGTTGTCCACATTCTTGGCACAAATTCAAAATGGTTCTCTTTTTGAGTTGGGAATCCACCAGAGCTGTTCCTAAACCTCACTCTGTTTTTTTTTTTTTTTTTTTCTATGAGCAGCATCTGAAGTAAGTAAAGAAGAAGAGAGTCTCTGGGTTTTGCACCTAATTGCCTGTTTTTTTCTTTTGTGGATGATGTTGGCTTAAAACTGTGTGGTTTGCAGCGGAGTACAAGCAAAGGGTCTGTTTCAATAGGTCTGAAGTCATGGCTCTTAACTGCAAAAAAGTAGACTACTCCCTCCAGTAAGGGGTCAGTATCTGCCTAAGGGGAAGTAATTAATATATATTGGTTTCTTGTTCATAAATGAGCGTTGGCTGGAGCGGGACGTGAATAGACAGATCGGGTCCTTTCCTGCAGTAATGAAGGCACTGCTCCAGACTCTCAAGGTAGAGATAGATCTATCCAAAAAAGTGTAGCTCATAATTTAGTGGTACATCAATATTCAAATTCTCACCTTTGGTTGCAAGATATTGTTAATGACCCAATAAATGAAATCTGGATAAAAACAGATGAAAATAGATTCTTGTATAGGGTAGCTAGTCTTAAGTTAGTGAGAGGGGCTGAGGCGATATGTGTAGAAAAAACTCAGATTGCTCCATTTCAGTGTGAAAAATTAAGTGGTTCTTGTGTCTTCATGATATCTTAATAGTGTCTTACTTTGAAGGTTTTCAGATCAATTTTTATTATGAGGCACCCAGAGAGTAGACACTTTAAGGTCATACAGTTGCTACAATATTTCTTCAAAATGATTCATTTTATAAGAAAAAAATAAGCCATGTTATGCCCAGAATAGTGTTTAAAAAGAAAAAAGTATTATTTTTCCTGAAAATAAATGTATGTAAATAGTTGTTTTACAATTTATAATGATTAAGGGAAATCCACTAAGCTGGTTTAAATCATATGTGTCTGACAGATTTCAGTTTGTTCATTTTAATGATTTATTATTCTCATGCTCCAGGGTTACCTGTAGAGTACCACAGGGAGCAGTGGAAGGGCAACTCTCCTTACTATAAATATATGCTTCCAATTGTTACAATTATTGGACAGCATGATATTAACTTCCACAAAGCTATATTTGTAAATGAATCCTGAATAAAATAACCCTTTACTGTACATGGTTAGAGGCATGACTTGAAGACATAAAAGATTTGTCTTAACTGTCTGCGTCTGAATGCAGAAGTTTTTGTCTTTAGACTTTGAAGCTGATTAATCAGTCACTTCATCTTATTCATTCAAAATGTCTGGATTAGCGTTGAGTTCCAAGCTTTATAGAGTAGCCCAACAAAGCCTTGTTATGTTGTTTGTTAATGCTAACCAAATGTTAGCCAGTACTGTAAAGTTGCACAGGCAAGCGGCTGCAGGTTTGTTAGGTTTTTCTGAAAGTGAGTTACCGTAAAATCATTTAGATGTCTTATTTTAGTCTCCTGACAATGCCAGATCAACTGCTTGTTAATTACAATTAGCATTGGCTAATTATTTCCTTCAGTATTTGGCAGAACTGGCACCTGGTTGGCAAACAGCACAACTGAAGGTTGCAACAGGAGCAGGGCAGCAGGAGTTTGCCAATCACTAGGGGAGAATTCTAGGGGAAAACTCTACTGCAGTTATTTCTTTTACCTTATTTGAGAGACTATATAAAGTATCTGGACACATTCAGATCCAACAGAACAAGCTGAGGCCAAGATTGCTTTTGTTCCATTACTACAGTCAGACCTGTTGCCTCTGATATTTCTGATGAGTGAAAGTATGAATAAATAAGAAACAAGTGGTGAGAATAAACTAAATTGTGAAGAAATGTTTTCAACGGAAAATATTTTTAATCTTCCGGGGGACATTTTTAGTAATGTTAGTTTCACCCAAATAAAAAAAAAAAAAACAAAAAAAAAAACAGATTATTACCCTCACTATTGTTCTCATGCAGTACACAGTTCAGATAAAAGTGGGTTGTTCTCTATAAATTTAATTGCTAGCTCTAATAGGTCAATGGATACATATCTTTTTTTTTCCGTTTTTAAGTAAAAAAAAATACAACTAAGAAAATCTAAATTAATCAAATATATTTAGATGATGGATAAGTTTCATATACTACTCTAAATACTTGCAATAAACATCCTTTGTGAATTAGTAGTCCTTGTTTTGAGCAGCATGTTGGCATCAAAGAATTTACAAAGTCATTTTGGGGACATTTTCACATAAAGCCCATAAAGACAACGAGATGGAAGGGAGGGGGACGTCCTAGAGCAAGGACTGACATTTAATTCTCAATGTGCTAAGTTTGGTACTTTCACCCTAACATCGTTGCTCCACCATTATATTGCCCATGAATCAGCGTGAAGCATCAGCAGAGCTATTTTCCGAAATCCAGATATGGTTCAACAACCTGGTGTGGCCTCTGTTTTAAGTGCTTTCTTTGTGCATACTACAACTGAGGCCATTCATGTAGGGATAAAACAAAACAACAGAAACACACATACACACACTTCCTGCAACATCACAGTCAGTATTTTATAAAAGAAACAAAGTGAAAGATGTACTACATCTGTAACACTCACACACATCTTACCTTCAAATAAAATTACACTGGGACATGTGCAAGTGAACATACACTCACGCACACTCACGCACACACACACACATTGAAGTATCCCTCTTGGCTTGCGTTGCAACTTTGTGACAGAGAGACGTCTCACTCCAGGAGTGCAGTATTGCATTGTCAGAGGTGTATGACAGATATTAATGTCACACAAGAACATGATGGATGGAATTCCTTTATGATGTTGCTTTCTATCTCCGGTTCTGTCTCCCAGAGCCTGGCATGCCGCAGACAGCTCCTTAATGAGCTCTGGAAGCATCCATATCCGTTGACAACCATTCCTTAGCTGCCTCTTTGCCTAAAACTGGTCAGATGAGTGCTGGCTTCCTGGGAGACAGGGCATTATTTCTGCAACATGGTGCCCTGAAACACTGCATTCCTATGAAGCAAATAAGCTTGCCTCTGTCTATGGATAAACATTCTTTGTTGCAATTTGGGAAATGCAATCCAAATTTAAAGTTTAAAAATTTTCTCTTTTTTGTTTTCTTTTAATCATTAGACATTTCAATTAAGGTATTTAAGTTAAGTTAAGATAGATTTTTATTAGGCTGATGAATATTTAATATATAGTTGAGTTGTTTCCACATAGCCTGAGAGAAGGACATTAAAACCATGAGTTAAAAGTCAACATCTACACAACATTACAGAATTAAGGAATGCACAAACAATAATCTATATACAAAAAAGAATAATAAATCAAGATAACAGCACATTGATTATAAAAATTTCTATCATCACCACATGCAATTCATAGAATGTGTTCTTTATCTCAACACATTGCAACAGAAAATGCAATCCTAATATGAGTGAGTACTTTTATACAGTACTGTGAAATGTTTAAGGTAAAACTGAACTGACACCTAGTGGTTAAAGTAATTACAGCAGATTTTTATTCATCCATGCTTGTCTTTCTACAAAATAATTTTACATGTAATTCACTCATTAATGATGCATAAATCAGTGTTTATCTTGAATGTACTTCCAAGACAGTATATATTTCTATATACCGGTATATAATATAGAAATATTCAGGGCAGAAAATATAACTTGTAATAACAATTCTTTTGCTTATTAAAG